AGTGGTTTCTCTCGCTATGAATGCGCGCCAAATTACTAAATTACTGTTCACGAGAAAACTGCCCATAAACGCTTGACGTGTAGGAACGCCGTCAGCGATAGGCGTCTGAAAAAACCGAGATGACGCTCGCGCCCGCCCGCGAGAAGTCCGAGAATGCGCCAAGCTGGGGTTTGCCTCGATCCGTCTCATTGTGGAATCAAGCTTTGGGTCATTCTTCCACCTAGCATTCACTACACATGTATCCCACCGTCCGCCACAGGAGCAACAAACAGCATGTACATGTCAGTAAGAATTAAATGAGAATTTTTACAACGTCTGATACATATATTCGCCATCCTGCTCTTCAATGCATGAACTCTACCTTACCTTTAAACTGACCGTGTAATGTATATATAGTATCAGGGGTTAATAATGACAAATGTCTCCATTTGTCATTATTAACCCCTAATAGTATACAGTCTTATATAGTATTAACAAGTATACTGATGCGATACTCGGTCATTATCTGCACTGTAGACGCACATAGCTACTACGGTACATGGCGAACTGGGCCACTAAACAACACCTACTGAGAGTTACACATCGAGAGACGCGCGAAAGGTCTTTGGGTCGCTAATGAATGGATAGACGCTATACACTATACAGTCATTCAGTGCGAGAAAGGCGCGCGCAATTTTACACGGCGGACACTGTGTGTAATAACCACTGCCGCTCCCTAGGCGGGCTAATCATACATCGATACTTTGGCGTGGCCTGATTTACGATGCGTACTATCAAGAGTACATAATATATATATCATCTCCTATTGTGTACTCTTGGTACTATTACGCTATCTCAACGATGGCTCGAGTTGCCCGAGAGATTAGACGTGCCGACATAAAAGAAAGTTGCACGCGTAGTACTCACGTAGTGGGCAGAAGTAAAAGCAGAATGATTTGTTACCTACACATAACGGTTGGACAGCCGAAACGACAGAAACAATGTGAAACGAGTCATTATAACTGCAAACCTACGTTGCCCTTTCTCCTGGGCAACGTCGCTACCACACGTGAACGAGCAAAAATGTCCGTCAGTTACTACTTATCACTAAGAATGCAAACACGTTATTTGCTTAGGGGTGTTCGAGGCCATTTTTTGCCCCTGTACGTGTGCGCATACCTGCTTGTGGGCGCGCATCGCGAACTTCAAACCAGTTCCGGTAGCGTAACCCGGGGCGAGCATATATATATAATTGCATTGCAAGCTCGCCACGTTATTCCGCCTGCCAAAAGATAGAATCCATGAAATTTACCGGCCGACTGAGTTTTACACGCGATATAAAACCAGGAAGCATCGCGCCATTCTCACCCACGTTCTACTGCAACTGCCGCACGTTAGATCTAAAAGTACACACATTCGCCGAGTATCCGCAGTCACTCGACGAACACACAGATTGTTAAAGTCAAGAGCGTATAAATGACTTCTTTATACGCTCTTGTTAAAATCCATGGCAAATTTTTCGACTTAGTGTGGCACTGTTGCAAGCGTGTAAAAAGACGTTTGTCAGTATAAATCGTGTACACGTGACATTTATATATATGCCGCGTATTATTCGCTAGTTTCCAACATATTGTCAACAGCTGCGTAAATTATAGCAGTTCTGACGAGTTTTTAACAATTTCTATTCGGGGACACAATTCCTATATATATAGACGCACTGAATCGTAAAAAAGCAAAATAGCGCATAGCACATAGCGATAGTGCGATAATGCATTCCGAATCATTTAACATTTTTGTATCCAGATCACCACAACAAAGATATATTGCGATACAGGACAGCTCAACCACACCTCACGAGGTTGTGAAATCATTGAGGTGCTAATCACAACTATTACCTCTTGGCCCTTAATACAGTATTTCTAATGTAACACTTTGGCTGAAACTTTTATGAACATTTTCACTAGTGTCAAATTATCAAGAGCCCTGCCCATAATAGAAAATCTTCTCTATATTCTCTATCTTCCCTATATGCGATAGAAAATATTTTCTATTATGGACTCGATCTTGATATTTATATATATGCCACCAGCCATCACTAGTATTGTCGCTCATCTTTCTCTATTGCCTACGAGTACTAAAAACTACACATTACCTCAACACGCGAAATACTATCTAGCGGCCAGAAACAGGTATATGAACAAGTTCTTCTTGGAAATGGCACATGAATGACAACTGAAAACCATAATTTGCTACCAAATCTTGAGCAGTGACTGCGGACGAATCAGCTACTGTGCTTGTCACAGGTTTGCTATACAGGTGATAATTTTGTGTGTATCGCAACATCCTGTGGGCTGCGCAAACGCACATAATTACAGGGCATCTAGTGGCGGTCCTGCAACATGGTGGTGCTAAAATAACTTGGCAGGGCACAGACCCCGTTTTACATGGTTAACATAGTGGAATGTACATCAGTAGCCCAGATAATGTAGCTTGCATTGCGTTTCTATTGTTGGTTCAAACTTTGCTGCCGCCCCATGATGGTGCATCTCAACAATCCGCCTAGTACTACAGAGTCAGATTTACTGTCTTAGGCCAAAACAAAATATATGTGTGGTTACCGTTACATGCCGAAAAAATAGGGTAGGTAAATAGGGAAAACATTTTATTTTCTTGAAATATTTTATTTACGAACCATGTCCGAAGGATGTGCGTTGTGCCTTTTGAAGCAAGAACTGTCCAATTCATTTATTTTTATTTTTTTTACTTTAAAGAAAATTGACAATAAAATGTTTAGGGTCGCTGGGAATAAATAGGGTCGGTCGGGAAACCGTAACGGTGTAACCACACCTATATTTTGTTTTGGCCTTACAACATAGATCTATACCTTCTTCATCTTCATTGAGAAGTACTTTACTCTATCTGACAGTAGCTCTATTATTACCACAGCCTGTGAAATTATTAAAAATTGAGTGTATCACGAAGCTATGTATATTGAATAATTGTGCTATTATCTAACACGATTGATTCTAGGAAACAAATAATACGGGAGTATGACTATTATCACAAATTTTGGATCTATAGACTGAAATCAAAACGCTGCTTAAAAACCTACAGTGGTGTACTGATTTGCTCGTGTGACAAATACACTGCCCATAGAAACTCCGAAACAGAATTTAAAAACTACCTAGCATTTCTTTGCCTCCTATTACAGTTGTATGAACCGGTTACGCTAAAATATTGGTAGTCTCGTGCCAAGCCAGTGCTAATAATGTTAAATCAAAAGTAATACTTTAATTTAAAGTTAACCATAAATTTATATAGCATGAGTATATCCAGGTGCATATGTATGACTTAAAGTATAGATGTTTATAGCATTTAGGTGATGCCACTGACCTCAAATCAATGGTCGAATCCTCATTGTAAAATTATGCAAATGCGCAATTTAATCTGACACAAGCCTACTAATATGGAAATGATTAACCATTTATTTTAAGTAAACGTTGACTATGGAACCACCTGATTCGTGAATCCCAATTTATACAAATAACTGCACTCGAAGTCATGCTCATATATATGTGCAACCAAGATTAGCACAATTCACACTTGTTAGGACAGCACAAGTCCAGCACTTAAGACGAAGCAGAATTGATCCTTTACTAACCCACTGAGAGAATAAGGTTAACAGCATGCATTGTATGTCACTTCATGGTGAGCAATGGTCAGTCTGTGGTAGTTGACCTACAGGGGGATGGGTCTTACATGCAATGTGGGTCCATGAATATGTGTTACCCTAAATGTGTCAGTTTAAGTTTCACTACATCACTATGAACCAGTTCTAGATTGAATTTTAAAGTACTTTAAAAAAGCAAAATGCAAAACTTGACAGAGTTTCGAATGCTGAAAAGATACCCCCATTCAAGCGGTATGGCATGTTCCCAAACCATACCAGGGAAAATGAAGACATAAAGGAAGATAGAATCAACATTCTATGGTAACTTGACATCTTGCTGAAACAAATCTAATTGCAAGATAGAGACCAATTAGTTGAGGACATAATTGAGGACTGTAAAAAGATCATCATCCATATCCTTAGCTCTAGTGCTATAGCCCGCGTTCAGTAACTGCCGCAGGCGCTTTGTGGCCAGTGTGTTGCTTCCGGTCGCCGCTGTGTAGCGCCATGGTAGCGCTGACTCACGTCAGTACTACAGAGTTTACTATACATCCAGCGTGAGGTGGGCACAGGTGGGGGGTCATCACTATATATGGCAATCAATAACAGACGTCATTCATTCCATTTGTCAATCATTGACGGAAACACGAGAGGTTTCCCAAAGTTATCTCAAAGCGAGAGACAGTCGCAGTCAGCAGGTATCTCGAGTCGGTTTTCAGCAAAAATACCAGATTTTCACCACTCATTATCTCAGCGTAGGGGCATTGTAGGGACATCGTAGGGACATGCAGTTTGTTTTATATTAACGAGGTAGGACAGCTGATCAATAATACTGCAAAGAATCGTCAAAATAAAATGGGGAAAGTTTATTAATTCGACTACTAAGTACTGCAACATGATTTCAGCATTTCACCGTTGTACGCTCTCCTTTATAAGCTCTTGATTATTATAATGTATTGCCTACAGATTTATATAATGTAGTGATACAATTTGTAAAAAAAAAAGAATAGGAAAGATCAATAAAATTGTTTGAGTCAGCCCTTTTTTGGAGGGTAGGTCGGGTGAGGGCAAACAAACAATATTTTGATTATGGCCTCACTACTTTATAACTGACTAGTGTGTGTGTACAGTCAAACCTGTGTGTCCTGGCAGACACCGCTACAAAACAAACACCTGTTCATAAATAACACTTATAATTTCCCTTGAATGGCAGTTATACAGTAAAGCCAGCTCTATAAAAAGAAACACCTCTCCACGAAGGTAACTTTACGGGTTTCCCAAGTGATCCTTACATACAGGCTTGACTGCATATATATATATATAAACATGTTTCACGTTTTCTCTCACTCACCTGTGATGATGCCTCGGTGCCGCATCAGATCCTTGTCAGCCAACTCCCTCTCCCTCTTGAAGCCGTCCTCGGTGCTCCTGCCCTCGCCACTGGGACTGGTGCTGCTCGCGCTGCTGCCGTCGCCCTGATCGCGGCTGGCGAGCGGCCCGCCGCAGTGCGCGCACGCGCACTCGCCCTTCACGCGCTCGTCGTCCAGGTAGATGCACAGCTCCTTGAGCTCGGCGTTCTCGCGCACGAGTTCGGCCTGCTTCGTCTCGAGCTCGTGCAGCTTGCCGAGGTAGGAGGCGACCTCGCTGCGCATCACGCCGGCCGTGTAGCGGCCGAAGCGCTGCCACTCGCGGCTCAGCTTGCGGCCCTTCTGCCGGTCGTCGTCGAGGAAGCAGCAAAGATCGCGCAGCTCCTGGTTGTCGTCCTGCAGCCGCTGGTTGACGTCCTTGAGGCCGCGGATCTCGACGAGGTGCAGGTGCATGCGCCGGTTCACCTCCTTCATCAGCGCGCCGTGCTCGAGCATCATCTGCATGCGCTCGGCGTCGGCGCGCTGCAGCCTCCGCACCAGCTCTTGCGGGCCGAGTTGCAGCAGCTGCTCGTCCGTCATCTTCGGCGGCGGCGACGACGGCGACGACGTCCCGCTATGACCGTTGTACATCGGCGGTGGCACGTACGACGCCATCCGTGCGCTGTCGCGCTAACTACGCTGTCTGGTGCCCCTATGCCGGGGACTCACCGTACAGCTTGTACATGTATCACAAGCGTGAGACCATGGGTAAGAGTCTTCCTGAAGCGGGTGCAAGAAGTATTGCTGGATACTAGAAGTTGATCTAGCCCATGCGTGGCAGCTGAAAATATGTAATAGTGGGTATTGTTAATATATATATATCTCTAAAGGGAAATCATGTATGGTAATCTTTTTCAGCCACTTTTTCACTTTTTTATATATATATATATATACAAGTTTACATAACATGTGACAATACACGTTGATTCTTGCATCATCTATATGGTTATCATCAGCCAACCACATAACGAAACATACATATATTTATGTAGTTATATGCCATGTCAATAATAAAATGATAGTAAATAAACAAGAATTATATTAAATATCGAAGTTTCCATTTTTATGTACTCCCTACTCCCTAATAATTCCATGGAAATGTCACTCAAATACTCGGCTACAACTCAGCTCTACAACACACAATCTTACTGCATGCATGTCGCAAACTCGTAAAAGATAGAGCAGACCTGTGAGAAAGCGTGAGTGCCGAATTGGCATTCCGCTTACTACGTTTCATTATCACAGCACAAATACACGGCCATTTGCATCCATCTATGCACACCCGAGTGTTCGCTTTTTAATTATCCCACTTGTGATTTGGTAGAATAAAATCCACCAAGAGAAATCTCGCAAAATTCCATGAAAATTTCCTCTAAGTACTGTCTAATGTACATGGAAACAATTGGTCATTAATATCTGAAAATGCCTATTGATACTAATAGATTCTTCTTTGACCAATGAACGTAGGCACGCATATATATATGACATCACTCTTGCAGAAATAATTCGAGCTAAGTGGTGGCACTTATCCTGGAGTTTAGAAGCAGGGCATTGGTCAACACAGAATGCAAAATACTAAATTACACTTGCTCCCATTTAAAGTGATTATTGCGAGTTTTTTGGCTCAGAAAAACTAAATATAGCTGAATATATTCTCACCTTACAGTAGAAATATCACTGATTATACCAACATTCAAAACACCAAGATTTTATGCAGTTATAGCATAGAAAAATTGATTTGACCACATCATACCAGCAATAAATTTTATCGTGTCACGACTCTCAAACAAACGAACATAATTAAAACAAAAAGGGCGTGCAATTCTGTTTGGTAAATATTATTGAGTCAATAATTCAGAGCACTTTCTGTCATTGTCATTCCCGTGTTACTATCTGACTGGCAATCCACAAGCTTCTCTAATAACAGACTTTACGTGGCATTAGTACTACACTGCTGTTACGCTAGTATGAACGTCTGTGTTTACACTCTGACCTAATTTCTACGGTGCGTGGTTTGCATTGCTGCACCGTGATAGATGTCTCGCGCTACCGCGAGAAAATTCGATGGATGGCAACGGTAAATAGAAACAGAACGCAAAATTGTAATCGTGCATAATTTCATTGGATTTGGTGAATACAAAGGTTCTAAGACATTTTATCGTTACTCTAGACAATTGCTGTTACTCAAGCAATAACGGTAGGTATCATGAAAGTGGGGAAAACACTGGAAAATTCTCGCAATAGACGCTTTCAATTGCTATGGCGAGCGGATTTTTCGCAGGATTTTTACAAGATGTCTGGATAAATAATGCTGTATCCAAGTGCAAGGATGATAATTCCAACAAGTGGACACAGTCACACTTGGCTACACACAGATGCACAGATGGATGCACATGGCTATATATTTGTGCTGTGATACTGTAAAACAAAGCGAGAGATGTGAACATTTGGAGCTTATGCTTTTCCACCTCCTCACTCTTTTTGAGTTTGTGTGCAGTAGATAGATCAAGATAAGGCCCTAGATATTTTTATAATTCGATGCTATTCTAAGGGCCAATAGCCTTCCATAGACAAATTTTTGTACGTCAGAAACTATAAACTTGTAATGTTTGTTGTCAGAACAGATATTGCAATCTGGATTTCAACGCACTGCCATTAACCAGCAATGATTTCATTGGCTGGTTGGAACACACCACAAGCACAAAAGGCAACAACCATTACAAGTTTACAATTTATGTTATGACAGTTTTAAATATTTGGTGTTATAATATTTTTGTATAATCAAAAGTGACTAACTTTACACTTTACACAACTTTACACCATGTATTTATCCTTTTATTCCACAAAGTAAGCACTACTGGCATTTCATTTTCAAACGATAAGGCGTGCGCACGCGTGACGTCACCGGTATTATATATACATGACCCATAGATGCCATGTGTTTTGCATACATATCGTTTGAAAATGAATTGCCAGTAGTGCTTACTTTGTGGAATAAAAGGAAAAATACATGGTGTAAAGTTGTGTAAAATGTTCAAAAAGATAGGTGAGATGTCCACGTAGATAGATAAGTGTTAAAAAGCCCGATCATTTTGCGTTTTGTAAAGCGATTTTCGTGGGAACTTTGGGAACCGGTGTTGATGCTATTTCCAGCTGACAATGTGCTATAGCCCTGCGGCAGTCAATGTACGCGGGCTATAGTACTAGAGCTAGGCCCAACCTAAACCGACCAGGCTCTCCGACTGTTACACGGCGGAGGAGCCTGACACCCTTCCATACGAAATGCTTGGTAGCTTGAAAACAAACTCCGAATTTCGCAAAATTTCGTAAATAAACCAATGTATTACCACATTTGACCTCACCTGTTACATGTTGCAACTATCGCTACACTAAAATTAGTATTTACCCTGAAATACACGTTAAAATAAGAGAATTTCGAACAGCTATACTATTTGAACGTTGTAAAACGCCATTCTGAATGTTCTTATGTCTCTTCTTGTACGCGAAAATTCACACTTTCGCTACGTATTATGGGATATCTATTGGAAAATTAGTTTTATCTTATTAATTTATAAACAATTACTCGCTGACACGTAAGTACATGCTCAGTGATAGCGCACATATAATAAATCGAGGCGAGGAAGTACAGAGAAGCTGTAAGAATCATAAAAAGTTAGATAATTTAACGTTAAATAGCAGCGCACGTACTGCCGAACAAAATTCTAATGCGTCGGTTTGTGACCCTCTCGCCACGTAATGTTAAGCGAGATGGGAACTTGTGGCTAGGCCCAACCCTAGTTTATCACATTTGCGAAATTGAGGGTTGGGGTCCCAAACTAGGATTAAGCAAAAATTCATTCAAAAATTAAACTATCAGTTCATAACTCCTTAAGTCTAAGACCAGTAGTGGCAGTACCTTAGTAGTACTAGTACTAGTAGTAGTACCTTTGCCACAGCCGGTAAACACTAGATACAATAATGCAACCCAACAGCCTACTCTTGTTGGGTTACATTAGCCTGATTAGGGCCTAGCCCGACCAGGCTGTGCGACGGATTGTCTATACATTCTATTACATCTCTTACATCTATACATTCTAACCCTAGCAATACCGTTTCTTGGAGCTACATTACTCATAGCCTAGGGCCTAGTCATTATTGTATCTGCCGTGGCGCACTTTCCTTTCGATCAGCTAAGCACCTCACTATTGACACCAACCCATGTAATCTAATAACATTTTTTAGGTTGGCCGGCGTATTTGACAGCGCATTAAGGAGTATAACTTACCATATCCTGTCTTGGTGATCACCGCGAGTAGGTTATTTGGTTTAGCGAAAAACGAAAATATGAACAACTTGAACTACGACTGCCAAACTGTTGATGCGTTGATGCGACCTTTGACCTAACTTTGCCGATACAACGATTGAATGCACCCATGCGGCAGCGTTTATTACCGTCATGCAAAATATTCCACGGTTGTGCTACATACGTTTGTGCAATAGCACAAAAATGATACATTATCATATTATTTTGTTATATTTTTTACTAAAGCATTATAAGGAAGAAATGCACAAATTATGTGTAAAATATTATTGAATATAATATGATGGAGGGGGTGCTGCAATACTGCAATAACACCGGAATAAAGTAGTGTTAGCCAATGACGTTGTAGGTACTACATTCTCAATTCTAACCAATCACGTCCGACAATGTAAACCACACAGGTGCAACATCCGGTACTTGTGTTGGAAGTGTGAGTATCCTGCTTATTTTTCATTTTACACAATGTTATGCATTTCATCTACATCTCCTTGTTCTAAAAAAGTATCTTGCCGAACAATGACAAGTCAGTTTACGTTTTAAAACACTCACTCATTTCGGACTCTAAGATTATTTATTAAAATAAAACTGAGATTTGAAAACAACAATCAACATCAACATGTGACAATGATTCAATCATTAATCATTCATGACAGTGACACTCACAATGACATGAACATGTTCATCATTGCTAATTTCACACTAAACACGGCCCAAGAGCTGTCTACATTTGCACATGCCACATGTCGCACATTGCGAAAATGAATTGGGGACAGCTCTTAATCTTATAATATCCTTGAACCCTAAACACATACATTGTACACATTGCACGCCTCAAGCTGTCACTACTACTACTAGTGCTGATAAGGTCTATGTCCCCCAGGGTACTGCCGGAACGTACCCTGGGTACGGTCCGGTATACCGGAACGTACCACCCTGGTAACTAGTCCAAGATTCCTCCGACCAATGCCCACACCGACGATATTGGTAGATTTGGTGTGGGTTAGGTCAGAGCAACTTGCCTATACAAAACGTGTAATTTCTCCGATCCCGCCGAGGATTGCTGTTTCATCGCTCCAAACTCACAATTGGGGCTATCAATCAAGATCTGACGCACATATATCGAAAACTGGATAATTGATATGCTTGCTCGCCTTGGTAAGTACACTTGTACTTTTTTACTTTAGTCGTATTTTGATTTGAAAATTTGTTGCTAATAATTTCCCTCCGACATGCTTCGGCCATCCATTGTGCATCCAACTGCATTTTAGGCAACTACCACGCTACCAAATACGCTACTCTGTTGTTTCCCACAATGCAGTTGGATGCACGATGGATGGCTGATGCATGTCGGAGGGAAATTGTTAGCAACAAATTTTCAAATAGAAATACGACTAAGTTAAAAGAGTACAAGTGTACTTACCAACGCGAGCAAGCATATAAGTTAATCAGTTTTCGATATATGTGCGTCAGATCTTGATTTATAGCTCCAATTGTGAGTTTGGAGCGATTAAACAGCGATCCTCGGTGGGATCGGAGAAATTCCACGTTTTGTATAGGCAAGTTGCTCTGACCTAACCCACACCAAATCCACCGAAATCGTCGGTGTGGGCCTTGGTCAGAGGAATCTCGGACTACCTGGTCACTATCTAATATGCCGGACCGTACCTCACCTACTCCAAACCGTACCCTGACTTTCAGCCGATGTCGTAATACATACCGCTTGTTGGCAGGAAACGCACCGCTTTATGCTCCCGTTCCTTGTTTCCGGTCCATTCCCGCAAAATATTTGTAGTAAAAATATTGGTACATGTACTATAGATACAATAATGTAACCCAACAAGAGTAGGGTTACAACGCGAGCCTATTCTTTTCTTTGGAAGAGCCCCTGAGTGATTCACTCAGGGCGGTTTTATGGTGCGTTTTTCGAGACTAGAACTTCCAAACTGGGTTTATTCTAAACACGAATCTATCTCCGCTATCCTGGGACTTACTATGTATCACAATACTCTGTATTAAACTAATATAACCTGTTACAAAATTTCGAAGTGACGAGCGATGATATTTCGAGCGCCATTTCTGTTGACCTGTGACGTACGCATTCCCAATGCGCATAGAATTCGGCTACTTTCGGCTCCTGTGTTGCTTGACATGCTGGCTCTGGTGACGTCATGACTGACAGCAGGCATCCCATGATGCATTCGATCTTGGAGCCGAAGTCAAACTGCATGCAGTGCACCTTCTTACACTAAGGATACCACTGCCACAATGCTAGCACTATTTTTAAAGTGGGCGGAGCTCCGGGGAAATTCAGCGAATGGAGATTCATAAACAGCGTATGATTTGAAAGTAGTAAATGGGCGCACAATACTCGCGCTATTTTGTTATCACTATTTTATCAAATTTTTCATAAAATAATGGTTGGATTTTTAATATCTTTGCAACTTTTATTAGTCCAAATCTTATTACATAGGATACGAGTAACATGGCTGCTGTAAAACTTGTAGTAAAAAAGCGTTACAAATTGTAACAGAAATCTGCTTGTAGCAGTGGTAGATTGAGCCCATGAGCGAGAGCGCCATCTGTCGTGGAGTTTGAGCCGAAGTTAGCCGAACGCTATACGCATTGGGAATGCGTACGTCCCAGGTCAACAGAAATGGCGCTCGAAATATCACCGCTCGTCACTTCGAAATTTTGTAACAGGTTATGTTAGTTTAATACAGAGTATTGTGATACATAGTAAGTCCCAGGATAGCGGAGAAAGGTAGGTTCGTGCTTAGAATAAACCCAGTTTGGAAGTTTTAGTCTCGAAAAACGCACCATAATTTAAAACCGCCCTGAGTGAATCACTCAGGGGCTCTTCCAAAGAAAAGAATAGGCTCGCGTTGTAACCCTACTCTTGTTGCGTTACATTATTGTATCTACATGTACTAGTACTACTACTAGTAGTATTAGCGTACTAGTATAGCCGTTGTTGTCATTGGCACTGTAGCAGTGGCAACAAGAGCTATAGTACTAGTAGAGCTAACAGCAAGCATGATCGCAAACTTTGCTAATGTGTTTAGGCTTAGCTCTAGTCCTGGGGGGCACTCACCTCGGAACTGGGTAGGGGGATGCCTCGGGGACCTTGAAAACCTGACCCTGTTGCAAACCGCTTTGCGCCCTAAAATACACTATGTCCCAATATATTGCACTAAAAAGTATACCCTGTTGCAAGTGTAACGGATGTCAAATGTCTGCTAAAGTGCTCAGAAACTGGTACAAGAATGTCTATCATGGACCAATCGTGGACCCGCCTATGCTAGCTTACCGATACTGGCGTGCTGCCAAGTTGTTCCTATTGGACCTATGTTGGCTTGCCTATATTGGTCCAATATTGGCCTGGTGATATTGGCCCAATGCTGTTTTGTCAATATTGCCAATATTGCCAATTTGCCAATATTGTCAATATTGGGCCAGTATCAGCTTGCTTGCTGGGAATCTAGATAACCCTATGCCAATAATGATGTTCGGAAAATATACCCTGTCCAGTGGCACGTCCCCAGTACCTTTAACAATGGGAGTGCCCCCCACGGGGGGGGGGGCTCTAGTCTAGACTATGTCAGTGTTTACTGCACAGCACAGTTTATTGTCACATCATGCACTTGTAAGCACTTGGAACATTTCAATATATTGTAGCAACGCTGAGGTCAGTAACCACAGTTAGCATCAGTCCACACAAGCTAATTTTACACCATACCGAC